CTTTTTGTTTGTCTTCATTCGTTGTGCGCGTTTTTCTTGGTGTTTTGGTTGCGTTGCATTTGCGTCGATTGACTGTCCACCGCGATTCGGCCACTTAGCTAATCCCGTTTTTGTAGGCTTGCGTATGTCCGAGTGGAATGTGTCGAAGTTGCCGGGAGGTGGCGTTCAAATAGCTTATACTTTGTTTGCAGATATGTGGTGTGTGCAGGTTGCCCACCGGCAACTGCGATTCTGTGGACGCATGTGCGTCCGAGTTGAAGTCGGTCGAGTTGCTGCAGGTCAGCGGATCTGGAACCACTCATTGCGAAGGTAAATGACTTTTAGGCATTAGGACCTTGAACATTGACGCCAGACGTGCCACGATGGCCGGCAACAACGCCAGCTAACTAACTTTTAATCTTTACTCGGCTTAGTTCTTCAATTTAAAAGTCCAGCGAAATTTGTCAATTAGCCTTTCTTGAATCTATCACCTCTCTTCGTAATGGTTGACAATCTGTGGTAGTTGTCTATTTTGCTATTAACAATGCCTTTGACAAAGCGTCCCATAGACGTCTTTTAGTAAAGCTAGGAGCCATTGGCATCCAGCCTCCTCTACTCGACTTCATTGAGGACTACTTATGCAACAGCTGTCAAGAGGTCATGCTTGGTAGCGCCACTCGACATTTCACTCGATCGTAAGTGGCGTACTGAGGGGAGGGGCCTGGGTCGACTAATCCTCCTCATTTGGAACAGTGGCATTTCATCAGAAATCCCGACTTCATACTGATGACCTTATGTGTGTTTATTCATATTCTGAAGACACCGCAAAAGTTTTCGTTGAAAAGATCAACGTCCATCGCTGTACTCGGGGAAATCAAGTTCATCCCGGCAGGTGGGGTTTCCTTCGGCCAAATGTTGCTTCGTGTGTTTTGGCCCTACCAATGTACTTGGCTCATAATTTTTCAAAGCAACCCTCTTTCAGAATGCTCTTGTATAAAGGATCTAAGCCTAGGATTTACAAATAGCTTTGTAGACCCCGTTTCTGCAACGGCTGCGCGTGTATGTGGGTGCACAGCGGATAATATTTCCTTCCGGAAATGAAGCTGTGCGCTTACCTTATGTTTGTTCTCATAATTTTTAAGTAGCGTTACCCTTTCTCTGGTCGAATGAACGTCCATGCTCTTAATAAATGTCAAAGTGCTCAGTAAGCTTTTACTCGATTACTCCTATCTCGAGTTGGAACCAGTATTTATAATACCGAGAGGTGTCAGTTGACGAACGTTAAGTTTTTATGATTTAGAAGACCCGTGGCTAGCTGCTGCTTCCGGTTTCGCATTAAGTCTAGCCATAGACTTTCACCTATTGACGTCCTCAATCGGGTAGATCGATCTTATGTCGCGCGCAATTTCTACATGGTTATTACACCGCCTCTATGACCCCGTCCAAAGGCCACCATTTTGGCGTATAAAATGATTTCCTTTGGAATAATCTTTCGTCAGTACCTAGGCCATCATCTAAGTGGTTGGTATCCAAATTGAAATTACGTTAGCGCCTTGTTCTGAGAAGTTTGAATCATAAATATCCGTTTCATGCCTGAACGCTCAGCATCTAGACCTTGAAGGAGGTCCTTCGGGAATTATATGGTAGATATTACTTGCTTTACTAGTTAAGTTTGGAAGTTTTGCATAAGCTTTCACGACCCTATCTTTTTGCCCGGCACACAAATCCACCTCTATTATAATTATCTGCACTGATGATCTTCTCGGACTGGCAATTTTGAGAGATCCGGATTGATGATTTGAAGAAAAGCATGGTTCACCGCAACGGGTTTATTTAGGTGCTGACGTTTCGAGGAGCCTGTTCGGTTCCCCATTGTCATAGCGTAAAATGCACTTAGTCGATCAGAAATTTCAAGGGGCACTTCGCGTTGGTCGGTCTCATGCCGATCGATTTTTCTTTTCTCTCGGTGCCTCGACCCCTCGGAGGATGGTCTGTGGGTGTTTTATCTGTGTGGCTGGTGAATCACTACTTTGTCGGGGGAGATGATTGGACCTTTGTCGGGTGGTCAGTCTGGTGGTTCTTCTTCCTCGCCGAGTGCACTTGCCGTCGGCCCGTCCATGTATGGCCTTCTCAAGACCAATGTGGCCACTTGATCCTGAGCTCTACAGGCGTGATGACGTAAGAATTTGTAAACTGTAGGAAGGTCAAGATGCCTGTTGATGGAGTTGGTATCGGAGTCCAAATCTTCGAGCGTTAGCCTTCTGATTTTATGTCCCCGGCCTGGGTTGGTTACGCTCTGGAGATCGAAAGTATGCTCAGTTTCTTCAATGTGCGTTGCTAGTTGAGAGTTTAGACCTAGCCTCCGAGTTGCCGATTTGCGATCTTGTAGGGGTCAGCAATTTCCGCCCGGTTTCCCCATCATAGTTGCAGCCGTCCTCATTGTAACTTATTTTGTAGACATCTTCTAAGATTTCAGTAGGTGGCAGTGTGTCCTCAGATTGCATCTGACGGCGTTATACTGTTGCGTATGGTCGATGGTTTATGCCTACTCTGGTGGGTTGTAACAGTCAAGTGACCTCCTCGGAGACCCCTTTAACTTAGAGAATGGCCCTTCAGACATCGGGTTGTTAATCATTTGGCCGTCGTCTGTGCGTTCGACGTCTGTTTCTCTCGATAAAGTGCCTGGGATAACCACTGGTTGCAAAGAGGTTTTGAAGGCACAGTCGTTCGGTCCCTTTTTCCGGCGTTTTTAGCGTTCCCTTCTGGCTTCGATCTTTAGCGATCTGTTGACGAAGACGACGGGTTTTCCTGTTTTGCCAGCGTGCTGGTGGTTCGTCCAGTCACCTTTCATCTATCTGGACTTTGGGGAAACTCGCCGTCTTTCAACTAGACCTCCTGTCTTCGACTCTAAACTTACTTTGGATGACTATTGTTGGAGCGTCCAGTCTTGAGAAATAGCGGTCATTCGAGGCATACGATGCTTACTCATACAACGAACAGGATCGTCAGGTTTAGGAAAACTCCCTTAACGAGGAACATTTTAAGTTCTTAAATACACTCGCATACAGAGTGGCCCTGTCTCAGGAAAATATTTTCTTTCTCGTGGGTGACAATTTCTGCCCTTTAAAAATTACAAATCGCATTTACTTATCCTTTTAAGTCGAATTTAAAAGGACTTACACTGTTTGCTAAGTTTTTTCCATATCGGCCTGTCGATTTTAAAAACCAACTGATGGATGTATAAGTTCGCTCACTCGTACTTGGTCTCACTTTGGATGTCTTTTTGAGAGTATATAAATTTGTAGTAAATTGCCTTTAATGTTAAGTAATCTTTTCGTCTATTGCGTGTTTGTTATCGGGATTATGTATTATTTAGTAATATCTTCAGTATCCCGTGTGCAATAATGCATCGCAAGGGCCCGATGCTACTTAAATCATAGGCAGAACACATTCATTCAAATTTCAAAATAATTGAGCGGGTCTAAATAATTTACTCGAGGGTGGTGTCCGTTGTCCTAAATAAACTGAATTGTGCTTAAAAGAAGTGTGCTTAAGTGCATGCACATGCGTCGGGATATCTACAACAGTTGGCATCTCGCATTCATGAAAGCGTGTGAAATGGCATACGATAACTCGTATCCTCAAAGCGTTAGTAACCGTGGCATATCCACACGCATTTTTTAAATCCTCGGCAGCCCTTCAGTCGATCAACACATCCGTCGATATTTCGTCTGGATACTTCTGCCAGGCATAGCTGCCGAGGTTTCTGCATAGAACAGGCCCCCACTTACATAGTCATCCTTTTTTCAGCCAATGCGAAATGTGTCCGAGGATACTGACGTTTAAGAAATGCGCAAGTCTTTCTCCAGACATACCATCTCCTTGGAATGAAAACGCAAAATATAGCCGTGTTCCAGACCCACATAGCATTGTAAAGCATAATGCACTCCACTTTCCTTCTGGCAGACGACCTATAGTGTTTTATAACACTGATCTTTTTCACTTATTGTAAACTGTGGCGCAACGTAACTTTGATAATAATTAAAGGTTAGATCAGATGAGAAAAGGCACGTCAGCAATGGCAAAGTTAATTTCAAGCATTTGCGGACTCTAAATAAACATATATCGGACCAGTGGCTTCGAAACGAACGTGGTATTATCCATTCTTACCTATTCTTCACACGATTGAGGCGTATTATATGGATTGAGTGGAAGCTGCCTATAAACGAGACTCAATATAATTAATAAAAAGTTCTTCGGGGAATAAGAAAAAAGACGAGTTGAAGTGGCAACTTTTAAATAAGAAAAGTCCCTCCGGAGGAGAAAAGGAGATGTAATCGGAGATAAATCCTATTACCGCTTACTAAATGTCGCCAGCAATCAACAACGCGATAATCACCACGGTTCCCAAATCGCATTTCCAAGGCAGAACGCCATTCTGTTAGCTTTTTCTGTTTATATCAGGCTACCAGACAACAGAAAGAAGGATGCGTGCGTTATTTAGATGTAAGTTTATGACGGCCGGTTAGCCCGTCTTTTCAAACGAAGGTTAATCCTGTTCTGCTGCACATACCTTTACTGCGTTTTCAGGGTGACATTCCGCAATTTCTTCATTTACCCTTTGATAGCCGTTAGTTACTTCCGTTTCTGCTGTAGAAAATACTTCCTGATCAGGCGAAATTAACGCAAGCTTTTGTTGCTGGCGACACCCAATCGCCATTTCTTGGAATCAACACGTGAAAATCAAAGCGTTGGATAGATATTATTATTGCTTTCATCTTGAGCATTTTAGACAAATCGAGGAGCAGATATTTGGTATATATGCAGAGTAAATACGAAGACGGTTGGTCTGTGTTTCAAAAGTTTATATCCCACTAGTACAACCACTCTCAGGTTACATTTCGTTATTGCTCGGCTGCTTGTTCTCTTTCACTCAAGATATTTGCATCGCCGCGTTGTTTTACTTCACCACTTAAGTCAAAGAAGACACCGCGGGCGGGCATTTCGACACCTGCCTATCTATGCTTTCGCGTGCAGCCTCTTCGACTTTCGCTCGGGTCGTCAGCGTTAGGACCCTTGGAGCTGCTTCTAAGCATACTCTCCCAGACTTGCCTTACGATTTCAATGCATTGGAGCCAACAATTAGCAGTGACATTATGCGGGTGCATTACGAAAAGCACCATGCAACCTACGTAAACAACTTGAATGTTGCCGAGGAGCAGCTGGCCGAAGCATTGCACAAAAATGACGTGACCAAAGTAATCTCTCTTCAGGTTAGCCCATTTGTATTCGATGTTGCTTATCCAAACTCGCCTATCTATCTATTATCGATTTCTCTCCCTCGATGTTCTACTGCTCTCTAGCAAGCTGTTTCCTGTGTCACTACGAGTTAGCGCATGCAGTTAATTGCTTTAGGCGAGTTTTGATTTTCTTCAGAACTGAGTCGTGGGTAATTGCAAATTTTTTTCAGCAGATTGCAGAAAAACCGCCTGGTGATCGTCATCTACTCTGCGCTTAAATGGCCAGATCCACCGCCACGGATGGAATTTTTTGTCTGCCCCGATGAGCGGCACATGGCCAATGTACGAATAAGTGCCTATCAGGCACTTCCCCACACGTAACACTTAAGCTATCCGGGAAGTAACGGTGTTATGTTCTTCAAGGGCAGACACTCATTGTCGCGTCCGCGTACACTAAAGATGTATCATGGGGATTTACCATCACTCCCTCCGGGAGTTCTAGCGCCCACCTAGTCTGTTTACCTGACTTTGGCAAGGAGAAATATCTGGTCTTAGTTGAACCTATCTCCGCTGATATTGCATCATTTGTAAAGACAGACTGCTCACCTTTTGCCCTATTAAGAAGCTTGGGAAGAATTAGCACTTTCATAGTCATTCTATTACTTCAAGGCCCTGGAGATGTTAACGTCTTTTTTTCCAGATTGTAACTGGCCCATCTACATCTCGCCTAAGTCCCTTTAAATTTACTTTCTTTTAGCCTGCCCTCAGATTTAATGGTGGTGGACACCTCAATCACAGCATATTTTGGAAGAACTTGTGCCCCAAAGGAGGCGGAGAACCATCAGGGCCATTGGCAGAAGCCATTAAAAGGGACTTCGGGTCTTTTGAAAACTTCAAGGCCAGGATGACTGCCAAGACCGTAGCCATACAGGGCTCTGGGTGGGGATGGTTGGGTCTCTGTCCGGTGTCAAAACGACTTCAAATCGTCACCTGCGCGAATCAGGACCCATTAGAAGGAACAACAGGTACCCGTTGTTTCTTCCCTACCTTGATCAGACTTTTTGAGTTCACGATAAAATGTCATTTTCCCCGTTACTCACTTTTTATGTAGCTAGCAACCAAGTTTGTCGTACCATCTCGTGTAAGACTAGCTGGCTTATTTTTATTTGCTATTTTAACTAGGACTGAAACCTTTGCTTGGCATCGACGTATGGGAGCATGCCTATTACCTTCAGTACAAGAATGCCCGTCCCGACTACGTGAATGCCATCTGGTCAATCATCAATTGGAAAGATGTGGAGACACGCTTTGTTGCCTCTCAAAAGCACTAGTCCTCTCGTGATATTTCTCCTCTAGCACGTCATTCTGTTTTTCACCGACTTAATTGCATTTCTGCTATTTTTCCATTTATTTAGTATCAATTTCTGCCTAAATCAATCAAAATATCTCCCGCGGCTTTTTATTGTCTGAGGGCGTCAGCGTTCATCTGCTCCTTCGGTGACCACTAGCTTTTGGGTCTCAATTACCACCAAGATCCCTGTTCCTGTTAAGGTGCAGAAAACCTGCAGATATCCCACAGACAACTAAAACGCAGTCGTCGCCAACACGGTGCGTTGACCGCCCATCAACAGCTTGAGTCAATTAGCCGGCGAATATCACATGTTAAACTCGAGAGTCTGTGTCGCTGCTATTAAGGATACGTAGTTAATAAGTCAGGTAACCGATACTTGTGCTTGACTAGTTTCGTTGATGCAGCTTTAGCTTAGAGTGGAGATTGCATGGCCCACCATGATATTTCTCAATGGTCAACTGCGGTAGAAGACATACATGGGACTATGATCTGAACTTTAACTCGTCGTGCACCAAATTAACAGACTGAGATGGCGACCTAATGTGAACTCAAGATGCCGTGTTTACTTTCCTCTGCAATTTTTCCTGCTTGCTGCTCCGCTGCACGTGTGATGTGAGTCTGAGACTGTCACGGTGCGCGAGAGTCATGGCTTGATGGGAGTTAACCGTCGGGAATACCTGTGTCTGTAGTTGAAAGTGGATTTCCAAATTTAACGTTCAGCACCTACATTTGGTCGAAACTTCTGTCACGCGGACAACTTAGTGGGCAATCTACAACCAGGCCGACTGGGTACATTATCCAGGCTTGATGCTAGTCAGCCGATCAAAATATCGGCCAGGCGACCCTACGCATCTTTAGCGTGCAGAAAACAGTCACTGTTTTCTAATATTGTCGCGGACGACCTTCCATGCATTGCAAGGGCTCGCTTGACGAGTCGAGCCCTTGACCGATGGTGTAAGCGTCTTTTGGATGTCGGTCCAGCTGAAGATCACTAGTAATGGGTAGCAGACACCATCAATAAAGTATTACCAATCGGAATGCACTCTGGGCGTGCGGAGCTATCATAAATGCACATGGGAGGGTCACCCTGGTGGACACAACTGGCCATATTATCTCGCGCGTCCATAAACGAAGTCGACTGGGGCTGCCCGTCGTCCTCTCGGTCTTCTGACTGCAAATTTTAAACCAAAGGCGGTTGAAATTGTCCACTAATCCGAAAGTGGTTTCCCTCGAGTTAGCGGATCTCCCCAACCACAGACTGGTTATTCTCGTTTTGGTTAGGCTTTTGCAGGCGCACTGCATTTCTGTTAATGGGCTAGTCAACTTCTTAGTACCGTGCACACTAAGATCCTTTATGCACAGATAACGAAGTAATGTGACTGCGGGATGGTCATACAGTGCCTATTCATAACATGGTGCAACGGGGATTTTGGGGGAACGTAGATCCGACGGACTTTGAGGGTGACTGAAGGGGTTACTCCCCCGTCCGGCAGTAGGCGTGTGTTGGTAGAAGGTTGATGCTCTAGCGTGTGGTTCACTCAGGCGAAAGGACTTTCAGATACGCTGTCTGGCTCTGCTGGTCACTGCGCCGAATCCTATAAACAGCTGGCGACCTCGGACAGTCGACTGATGTATGAGGGAGAAAAGGGTTGGACCATTTGGGAATTCGTTCTCACGACACGTCAGCACATTTCCCGATTTAAAAATCTGATACGACTGCTTCTGCCGGGACGCGCTATTAGTCGTGGCCTGGGAGGTTGCCAACTGGCAGGATAACTCGGTCCTTATGGGGGTACTTTGTATTGACTTGCGGATTGGGACTCAGGCAGCAATGACTTCATAATAATGTGGCTCTTCCGGGATTCTCAGGCAGGTGAGACGCAGGCTGCCCATACGGAAGAGTTGCGCGTGTCGGCGGACTGGGAGATGTGTGTCTGCGCAGGCGGACTGTTTACCTTTGACAACCCCTGCGCCCGAGACCACATCCGGTCGCCTTGGCACTGTTTTGCTATTGGAGTAAGGTGAGTGACCTGAATGCGGAAGGTGCAAGTTCGCCTCACTATCAACTAATTCATCACGCGAAAGTTACCAATGATTAACCTGCTCGTGGAGCCCACGTTGGACTGGCTTCATAGGGTGATTGGCCCCCACGTGGGATGTCGAAAGTGTTCGTAAAGAAGACTTGAATAACTAGCGAAAGCGAATAGGCACGATTGCTCCACCCTCCGCAACCGTATAGTGATTAGGAATATGCCTTTCAAATACAATCTGCACCACGGCCTTGATTTTCAAATCTCTCACAATGCCAAGGTTACTAGTCTGGGCAAGCCTGACAACCGTCCTAATTCGACCGTAATCTTCTACATAAAAACGGCCTCCAACACTATGGTCACACCGCAAGAGCTGTAAAGTTGGGATCAAACAATACAGGTGTCACGCTGGATTTCTTAGCGACCAGTTTCTTGCGTATAAAAGGACGTTCTAGCTTAGTAACTCGGCTTGACCAGCATATAAATTTGACCTGGATTGTTAAATGCCTCATTCTGGTATACTAGTAAATGCCTATGATGCCTGACAATTTAATACTCAGCTGGACATGATCTGGAAAATGTACGTTGCGCGATGAAGTATGGTTGTGCCGGTACAATGAGCGGCCCCGCGACTCGAAATCCGACGTGCAGCTATTCTTTCCTTTCGAAGGGGCCGACTTGCATGCTCAGACAAAGGTCAAAATGTGATGATCCTCATGGGTGTTCTACACGTGTGTAGGAATTTCAACATCATCAGTGGGACCTGTCAATGAAAGTCCAAGCCGAAACTACGGTCCATGCTGGCTATGTCACGCTGCCGTCATTTGACGGCGGCATTGTATGGGATGCCAATAGAAGCGAAGAGACGAGCCCCAGGAAGAAGTCTTGGAAAGGTAGACATGATCGCTGGGACAAGAACTTTATTAGCCTGACGTTTCGGATTCCTGATCGAACCCATCATCAGAGACAACAGCAGATACGGAAGGTTCATGCAAAAGGGGCTGTAGTATTTATAGGATGCAATCGCCATGCTACCGCATACCTATGAACATTCACGGCTCCCCCCTTCATTAGGGATCGTCGCACTTGGTGTGCTTATTGTTTGATGGCCGTCCTTCGAGTCGTTAATTGCGGCAATTTCATCACGTGCGTTGGATGTTTGTGTGACGATTGCTGGACTATCTGACGCACCGACCCTAGTGTTGGGAAGAGTGCTCACCTGTTAAGATGTTCGTTGAATGTCAGCACCTGATCCCGTTCGATGACGCGAAGTTATCATCCACATACGGGGCCCAAAACTTCGGTCTGAGGCATCTTTTGATGTTACATCCATTTTACTTCCATTCCCCAGGACCTGGCAATCGAGACAATAGAGCTGCTACTACAAAACAAATACGATGAAACGGAGAATCGTCTTGGACGCACCCATATCCTTCAGCTCCAGAAGCTCTGTCTCAGGACGTACTTCACGTTCGATGCGACAATCTATGAACAGGTGAAGGGCACACCAATGGGTTCGCCGATTTCGGGTTTAATCGCCGAGGCGGTCCTGCAACGGTTAGAGTCTTTGGTCTACCAACACCACAGACCGAAGCTCTGGGCCACGTATGTGGATGATACCTTAGTCGCCATTGAACGGGATCAGGTGCTGACATTCAAAGAACATCTTAACGCCGTCTTCCCGGACATTCAACTTGCGATGGTGGAGGAAGAGAACAACCAGCTGGCCTTCCTGGATGTCCTCGTATGCCGCAAAGATTGTGGTGGACTAAAGACCAAAGTGTTCTGGAAAGCGACAAATACGATGCAATTAGTGAACTTCAACAGCAACCACCCAATCAGCCTTAAACGCAGTTGTGTAAGGACGCTCTATCGGCGTGTCGAAACGCACTGCAGTGAGCCGGAAGACAAGATTGCCGAACTAAAATACCCCGACGGGTCTTCAAAGCCAACGGCTGCACGCACAACTTTGTCAACCGGTGCATACGCAAAAGGGACGACAGGCCTAACCGCGCGGATACCAAATCTTGGCGGGCGCTTCCGTATGTTAAGAACGTTTCGGAAGCTGTCGGCCGCCTTCTCGCACCACTTGGGGTTGGAGTGGCACACAGACCGGAGGCAACCATCAGGCGTCAGTTCATGAAACCGAAAGACCCGTTGCCGCGGCTAGAAACGTCTGGAGTCGTTTTTTCGGACCTGGTGCAGTTGAGGACAAAACAACTACGCCGGAGAAACCGGAAGACAGCTCCGAACGGGAATAGCCGAACACGCGGCAGCCGTGCTCAGAAATGACGTCAGCTCTCAAGTTTCGGCTCATTCGACGAGATCTGGCCACACATTCAAATTCGACGAGGCCGAAAATCTCGAAATGTGATTAAACTCGCGTCGTCCGGCGGGGCCTCGTAGCTCAGGTGGTTAGAGCGTTGGCTGCGCTAAAGCCTTCCCCTTACTGCGTGGGTTCGAATCCCACCGAGGCGCCGAATTTTTCACAGTTGGGTCAATATGAATCTCGAAAGGGGTGACAACCGCGTGGGCCGGGAGCTGCTTGAATCATGGTTTACTGGTCCCCAGTCCATTAACAAGCGCAGTGAACTTCCCCTTCCATACTCCGTGCTGCGACTGCGCCTAGACGAAGTAATTAGCAACGCGGGGAGCGCACAGATGAACACTCTTCCAACACTAGGGTCGGTGCGTCAGATGGTCCAGCAATCATCACACAAACATCCAACGCACGTGATGAAATTGCAACAATAAACGACTCGAAGGACGGCCATCAAACAATTAGCACACCAAGTGCGACGATCCCCAATGAAGGGGGGAGCCGTGAATGTTCATAGGTATGCGGTAGCATGGCGACTGCATCCTATAAATACTACAGCCCCTTTTGCGTGAATCACCCGTATCTGCTGTTGTCTTTGATGATGGGTTCGAGCAGGAATCCGAAACGTCGGGCTAATAAAGTTCTTGTCCCAGCGATCGTGTCTCCTTCTTCATTTGCATGGGATAGTTGATTTGTCAGACCTCAACTCTCTGCACCCTTCCACCACTGCTCTCTGCAAGCTCCGCAATATCTTTCTTACCAGACCTGAGAACATGCTCATTTCGTAGATAGTCCTTGCTGGGAGCCGTTACGCTCGGCGCGTCTTGCTTGGAGAAATACTTTGTCTTTCCCAGAACTTTTCGACGGTTGGCGCTGAAACTCATCCTCGTCACGTCTTCCCGATCCCGTTTCTACTGTCAGTTAGATGTTTAGTCCCTCAGACGTACTCTCTGTACTCACCTACTAAAATTTCCAGCACCTATGCTTACTACAACCTGATGGTCTAATCGTCTGAAATCCAACTTCTACCGGACCACGTGTTTGCCGGTATTGACGCCGGTGGACGTAGTGAAATCGATCATGAACGCGTCCCTAATCCCGCTAACTGCTTAGCCCGCATGTTAACTACCAAAGCTTTTCTCGGGATTTTGCCGCGGACTTGATTAAGTACAGGGCACATCTGCATGATGCTGTGCCGACCGAATGCATTCGCATATGTAAGTAGATGTGTTAACCATGTTTCCCTGGAGCTCGTATGTTCGGACAGCTTTTTAAATACTGTAGGTCGTGCAATCTGGATCCGGGACCCATGCAACAGCACTGATAGATTCTATCTCGTGTTATCAAGGGGATCGACCTGATGTCGATGCCAAGTTTTAAATTAATCCGTCTGGGTAATGACAAACTTTCGCGCTCTGGCATTACTTGCGCCGTCCGGCGAGCGCATTGGTCGTCAGAAACACGTTCGCAATGCATTTTAACGGCTTGGTTGGGTTGTTCGAAACTATTGCTGCCATATTCGAATTCGCCTTTGTCCAGGATATTTAAGGGGCTCCTTTTGAGGTCTGGTTCAGTCAGGAGTCGGAACTTCTTCCCTGAAAACAAGGGCACTCCCTGGATTAGCCATGAACTCCAAAAGGTTGGGGACATATCTAACTGCCCACCGTCATTTCGATGTTATGGCTGTGCACGGTGTTGGTGAATATACTTGATAGGTTTCTAAATAGAGCTTTGGAGGATTTGGTGGACTCTGCTTTTTTTAGAGGTTTGGAGGAATACTTTCTCTCCTTGTCTGTATTATAATTGGTGCACCAACAAACTAGATTCGGTCGCCGCTCAGTACTTATTTGAGTTACCAGAGTGCAAACCGGTCGATTCGCAACTTTGACCAGTTTGCAGTTTCTCTACTGCTTAAGTCGTGAATATTGAGCACCAACACACCAACCGCTGGGGGTTTAACGACTGTGGACTTTACAGTAGGAAGCATATATATATTTCTACCAATCACTACAGGTTCAGCTTTCCCAGCCAGCCTTTCTGGTCATTAAGTCCACTTCCGATGAATAGCATAAAGCGAATGATGTTCCACATTACCCCAAGGTCTCAGTGCATGACCTGCTCCCGTAAAAATAGATTTCTCATCTATTTCAACGTCTATGAAGTGTAGGGCACGTGAATGGGGACCCACCGTATTATAAGCAGCATTGCATTAAACCCCCGAGGGGTTGGGATTAAGGTTAGGGCAGGGGTTAGCGTTGGCGTTGGTTAGGACACGGTACTAGGTACCCTTGAAATTTAGCGCAAGATCACTTATAGTACTGGGAGTTACTTAACTCCATGCCAAGCATTTGTTAAGTTCCAAAGGGGAAGCCCCCTGCTCACGTTCTAAAGGTCACATTCTACAAAGCGCCACCAGGCGCTGGGATATCGATAGCGGACGACAAATGACGTTTATGGATCAAATTCGTCCAGGATCGAGAATAAAGCACTGGGGTTCTCTTGCTAAATGCCTTATTTTTTAAATTTTCTATCAATGTGAATACCATTGAGCGGAGAAACGCGAGAGTAAACTGTATGTGGAGCCCCAATTAACTGAACTGATACGATGAAACCAAAAGTACATGGGAGCTTTCACACAAATACGCCCCATGTTCAGCGCAGTCTTTGCCAACCGGCTGGCGGTTGCGACTGCTAAGAATGCAGCGGTAATCCAGCGGCTATGGCGATCGTCAAAAAAATAATGTACGCATGTTTATTTACCGGACGACACGTCAAGGTCTGCCTTTCTTAAATTTGGGTGAGCCACTCGTCAGGTGTGCATGCGGCGAGGGCCATCAGTTTTCGTCATATACACTATCCTTATTCACTATCCTTTCTGTGCCAGAAATCGTTTGATGCTGGAATTCTTCCCACAGACTGGAAGACGGCCCACATTACACCCCTTTACAAAAGCGGTAGTCGTGCTCTGGCGACAAACTACAGACCCGTCAGTCTGACGTCAATCTGCTGCAAAGTGATGGAGAAAACCGTCAAAAAGGAGTTGAGGGCTTACTTGGAAACCAACAACCTCTTGTCCAATGCACAATATGGTTTCCGTAGGGAAAGATCATGTGTTACGAACTTGCTATACACAATGCAAAGTTGAACACGAGCACTGGACGCAAAACACACCGTGCATGTTGCCTATATTGATTTCCGGAAGGCGTTCGACAGTGTTCCGCACCAGCGTCTCCTACACGAGTTGAGAATTATGGGCATCGGTGGCAAACTTCTCAAATGGATCGAAAATTTCCTTGTCGTCCGCTCCCAAATTGTCTGCGTAGAACAACAGCAATCAAGGTGCACATTCATAGAGAGTGGGGTCCCACAAGGCTCGGTGCTCGGACCAACCCTCTTTCTCTTGTTCATCAATGATTGTGTAGATGGGTTGGACTGTGATTGCGCCATGTTTGCGGACGACATAAAAATCTGGAAAGTCATCCAGAATGCTGCGATGAGACCAACTTCCAAGAAAATCTTTGTCGATTGGACGAGTGGTCCCGCAGATGGCTCTTGTCCTTCAATTTGAACAAATGCACCATTCTGCGCCTCGGAAATCAGACCCCTAGTACGTGGCAATACCATCAGAACGGAATGCCACTCCGAGAAGCAGAAACTCAGAAAGATCTCGGAGTTTGGGTTGCAGACAGCCTAAAGCCTTCTACACAATGCTGTAAGGCGGCCAAGGCCGCAACCTCAATGCTATATGCCATCAAGCGGGCATTCGTAGTTTTCGATGAAGACTGCTTCACCAAAGTCTTCGGCACGTTTATAAGGCCCCATCTCGAATATGCAATTCAGGCCTGGAGACCGTGGACGCATCAGGATTACGATCTGCTCTAAAGGGTACAGAGACGAGCAACAAAATTAATAAGAGGTCAAAGTGCACTGCCATACGAGATCCGCTTAACTAACCTTAATCTCTATCCTCTGAGTTATAGGCAGTTGCGCGGAGACATGATACAAACTTTCCGTATCGTGCGCGGCTTGGATTGTGCCCTTCGGCGCGATGACTTTTTCCAACTCGCCACTACAACTCACCTCCGGGGACATCCCTTCAAGCTACGTGTGCCACAGGGTAGACTGAATGCGAGAAAATATTTCTTCTCCAACCGTGTCGTGGAACCGTGGAATAACCTGCCCGAGACGGTTGTTATGTCTCAATCTGTGGAGACATTTAAATGGCACCTTGACAGATATATGCTGCGGCAACAATCGGACTATGGGACTTTTTAGCCATGTGACTAGTGACATATGTGAATCAATGTATGCATTCACTTAATGCTGTAATTTCTTCACATTTTTGCTTGTTTATCGATTTTTTAATGTACAAATAGGGAGTTCAAATGCGTAAGCCTATTTCCCTCAAATACACTGACTGACTGACTGACATTCCCTTGTCTAAACGCTGCTTTCCTAATTCAAACCCCATTCTCATCTACCAGGTCTTAATACTACCGGACAGCGGAACTACATCTAGTGTGGCGAGAATTCGCACTTGTCCTAGTGAAAACATCCATTTTGTTGAGACGGTCAACTTCTGAGGAGTGAAAATAACACAACAAGCGTCTCGAGGGGATGAAGACTATGTACACAGAATACGGACGACTACGTCGCTTCTTGGATGTCTGGATTAGAACACTTACGAGGTTTCGCAAAGTTACGAAAGCAGAAATGACCATTCCTGGCTGTTTGAGCGTGGTCCAGCGTTTGATCACCAGAGTTGGATTTGGAATCCTGGGTTTCCTGACGTAAAGTATGATTGCAGAGGACGACAGAGAAAC